GGAGGTTAACCCAAGAGAGCCAAACAATCCTCTGACTCAACCCAGGCAGAAAATTAAGGACAACTTGATTAACGACAGGAAAATCTCAAAATCAGACGCAACAGAAAGTTACCAAATGCTGTGAAGCCTCTTCCCTGGAGCCAGTGATAGATTGATGTCGCATAAATGTTAGACAGCTCTGTTTTCCTCTATATAAATGAGTACATACTCCTTTATGTGTAGGATAATAGAACTGGTGTGTAATAAGCCAGGATAGCTTCTTATCACACACGAGCAAGGGATCATTCTCTGTACCTTTCATCTCAAGCCTATTTCATCTCAACAACAACAAATTGCCACCTTCCAGCAATGCTAATGTACCAGTGTCCTATTTTGACACCGAGTCATCTCTATTCAGTACAGGTTTGATGTCTTGCCAGGGCTGGAAAGAATTAATGGTGAAGAGCACTCTCTCTGCTAGCAGGGGACTCGAAGACAAGAAAAGCTGTGACTAGGCAAGTGAACGCAGAGGTTTGGAAGAACTTCCATCTCCCAGAGGGTATCCAGGGCAGGGAATGATTTGCCAGGGGTGGCTGTAAGCCCAGAGTTGGTTGGGCTCTTTGAAACATTTCTTTTAGGCGAAGAGCACTGTGTAAATGCAAATTTGCTTGCTTCCAGTGTGCCAGTACCTCCTTAGGGTTGGTAGACACCTTCAAGATAAGAAAAAGCCTTGCATTTGATACAGCGCCTTACCATAATAATAATCCTTGCATTTGATATAGCGCTTTTCACATCTTCTAGACATCCCAAAGCGCTTCACCAAATATACTGTAAAATGAATTGACTGTATATTTTGTGGGTGAAACGCAGCAGCCAATTGCGCACAGCGACGTCCCACAAACAGCCGTGGATTGAGTGATTTTTTTTTTGAACGACCACTCTTGCCCTCCACTTTGTCTCTCTGTCTCAAGTTTGACACCATCTGCACATTTAAACGAGACCAAGGAACAATCGGGATGCAGGGAATAATTTCTCTGTTCCCTTGGCGAGGAGTGGAGAGATATCAAAGGCGAGAGATTCTGTTTCTCAATCGCGGCAGTGGGTAGGTTCTTGTCATCAAAGCACAGTGAGAACTGGTTGTTCTGAATCACATCAAATGAAGTTCAACATGTGAGCGAAAGGTTTAATGTCGGTGTGAATTTAATCCCAGGAAACCTGGTTCTGAAAACATACATGTGGTCTCTTAGCGCTCGCGTTTACACTCATAGCCCCGAGGCTTTTGAAAATCATAAAATGTATCCTTGGAGTTCTGTACTTTCGTGGTTAGAGCATTCGCCTAGCAAGCAAGAGGAAGATTCCCAGGCAGGGCAACATGTTGGGCACATTTCCTTACTCCACACGCCTCTGTTTACCTTGGAGTAAATAGGCACCTGGGCGTTAGTCGATTGGCTGATTGTTTTTCCGGGGATAATAATCCCGACAAAAAAAATGTAAAATAATTTGGTCCTTCTGTCCACGACTGTTTGTGGGACTCTGCTGTGCACAATTGGCTATGGCACTTTGTCCACATAATATACAGTCAATTCGCTTTGCAGTATATTCCGTGAAGCGCTTTGAGACATCTCGAAGACGTGATCAGACGCTATATTAAATGCAACGATTATTATTATATTCTCTAAAATCACAAAATTAACAACACTCCAGCCAAGTTACCAAGGAAAGCTCTAAAGTCACACTGCAAAAATGTCCAGGCTATTTCACAGTAATAGTATATGAATGATAGAGGCTTGCAGAGAGATGGTATTAAGGCAGAGTTAGTGAGATTGATTGAACAATAGGCAAAATACTGCAGATACTAGAAATCTGAAATAAAAACAAGTCGCTGGGAACACTCAGCGGGTCAGGCAGCATCTATGGAGAGATGAAAGTGAGTTAACGTTTCAGGTCAATGACCTTTCGTCTGGTCATTGATCTGAAACGTTAATGCACTTTCCTTTCTCCATAGATGCTGCCTGACCCGCTGAGTGTTCCCAGCGACTTCTGAGATTGAATGAACACCGTTCTCTGACACCCAGTGCAAACGGGTTGAGCCAAATGGCCTACTTCTGCACTGTCAATTTCTACAATTCTATGCACCCAGCTTCTAGCAAAAGCATGCAATATAAATGAGTAAATGTCCAGATCGTAATTACACACCAACATAATGAATGCTGGAAACCCTGGAATATAATATAGCATTTAATTATGATCGGAATGAGATTTCACAAGAGAAAGTGAACCAATATTTGCAGTTTAAAGTACTTTACCAGCTTTATAAATTCAAATGAAACATCCTTCCTACCTTCCTGGAATAATTGCCAGCCTTCGAAGAGTTCCAGGGAGACAGTTAATTGAAGGCAACGCACTATCAATACAGAGCCATGATCTATTGAGGTTGTTACCCTCTAGTAATTGATTGCTACATAACTGGTTCAAGACTAGCATTCTCCCCAACACCAGACCTCAATGTCACCTCTGACTAAATGTTCTTTTGTAATGTTCTTTTCGACATGTGAAGCACTCAACGAGCAATTATTTCAAAATTAAGCAATTAACACCATCCTGGGGCGTAAAAGTAGCCAAAGCTATGATTGTTCTCCTCAGACCGGGGAAGGTTACAGGTGTTCAAAATTACAAAAGGTTTTGATAGAGTAGATAGAGAGAAATTGTTTCTACTGGCTGGTGGGTAATCAGGCCACAAAGATAATTGGCAAAAGAACCAGAGGGGTGATGAGCAGAATTTTTTTTCACAGAGTTGTTACGGTCTGGAATGCACTGCCTGAAAGGGAACAGATTTAATAACAACTTTCAATAGAGTTTTAGACAGATACTTGAAAAGGAAAAGATTTGCAAAGATATGGGGTAGGAGCAGGAGGAGTGGGATGGATTGGGTAGCTCTTCCAAAGAGCTTTGAGACATCACAAAGACGTGATAAGGCTCTATGAAATGCAAGGATTATTATTATTATCCTTGAGAAGCACGTCTCTTATTGATAGTTCCAGTGAATGCCCTGGACTCAGTTTCCAATTTTGAATGCTATTCTACCTGGTTTATTCGAGTAATGGAGTACGACCAACTCTATTGCCTCAACTTAAAGCAATTATGGGCACCGTTACCAATCTTACTTGTGGTCGAATTAACTCTCTGAGTAGTAGCATGTGATTTCAGTCCCTGGCCTCAACAATCAAACTGTTTCCCAACTTGCAGTTGAGCATATTTTACAACAATCAAAGCAGTTACAAACTGGCCAGCCTCGTAGACCTGCTTCCTGACACGTCCGGGTCTGGCCTCCTCCTCGTCCCCCGAGTCCTCCGCTCCACCCTCGGCGGCCGTGCCTTCAGCCACTATGCCCCGAGGCTGCCTTCCTCACTCCCCTCCTTCCCATTTTCAGGTCTCTGCTGAAGACATTTCTTTTCGACCGCGCCTTTGGTCACCTTCCCCACCACCCCCCCTCCCCCTGGATCCTCCCCCTCCCCTCGGCTCGGTCCCGGGAGCCGTTACTGTAAAGCGCTCTGAGACGCCGTCCAGCATGGAGGGCGCTATATAAATCCAAGTTGTTGTTGTCAAACTCTTCAGCCAGCTTCAGTGAACTTAGGATCAGTCACTGGGGTCAGGGACTCATCCCGCTCAGCTCCTGTTAACCCCGAAAGCCCAAACCCTAACGGGTAGGGTGATCCTAGCTGGACAAGCACAGGAAAGCTTGCCACACAGCAAACATCAATGGCAAGTTACGCAGTTTTAGCTGCTTGGATTCCAGCAGTTACCCCAATGCACGGGTTGCTTTCTGGAATTGGGTAACCGGGATACATCCCTCCACGGAGAGAGAGCGCATTCCGTTCCAACAGTCTATCTATCTATCTATCTCTAATGTGTAGGCAATCCCACATGGGCTCAGCGGGCTCTGGCCTGCTTCATGTCCCCCATCTCGCCCACCCTCCCATTGGCAGACCTTCAGCCACTCTACCCCTACCCTCCGGAACTCCATCCCGCCTCACCCCCTACCTTGCCTCTTTCAAGACCCATCTCAAAACTTTCCTCTTCAACCGTGCCTTCAAACACCCTCCTTACCCCCCACTGCTCACCGCTCTCCGATTCCGACACCCAGTTCTGGTCTAAAAAAACTGTCTAGGGCCTTGGAATATCCTCCCGATGGAAAAGGCACTACACAAATGTATGTTGTTCTATAGGTGTGATGTGTGGGAAACTGAGCTTGTTTGGATACTCTTAAGAACGGTGATTGGTTTCCGTGTCAAGAGTGAATTTAGCCGTCAAATCAGATTATAGAAAAAAAATTACAAAAAAAAGTGCATCTGCATTGGGATTGAGAAAGCGTTGGCCAGGGAGAAATTTGGAGCCCTGTAGCATATTGGTTAGAGCACTTGTCCTGAATTAGGTTATTAGTCAAATTGGCAGAGCACTTTTCTGGGGGTAATAATCCCTTTCAAAAATGATAATTTGGTCACTCAGTCCACGACCGTTTGTGTGACCACTGCCGTGCACAATTGGCTGCTGCGTTTCGTCCACAAAATAGCCAATTCATTTACCAGTATATTCTGTGAAGCGCTTTGAGACGTCTCTGTGACTTGATAAGGCGCTATATCAAATGCAAGGATTATTATTATTACGTTGTTTCAAGGGAGTGCACTCCCCGTGCACTGGCCGATAATCTATCAGATAAATTGTTTATCGCTTTTCGTAGCACTCAAAAGACATGATGAGGCGCTACATCTAATGCAAGGAATATGATTATTATTATTATTATTGTTACATAAATCAGCCTGGAGGCAGATTTATTTCAGCTTATTAGCTTTTCTATGTGTCCAGAATTTGACAAATTCTTGAAAGTCTTGAATTTGAAGACCCATTTCAGGCCGAATCCCCCTTTAAAAGCAACTATCAAATCTGCTTCCACCACCATTTCAGGCAGCGAGTTTCAGACTTGGCGGAAATTTAATTCCTACTTCCCAACAAGCAAACAAACATTGTGAAATAAGAGGCATTTTTATTTTAATAACACACAATCGTCAGTCTTCGGAAGCTTACGGAGACCTCTTATGTATTGCTGTCATAATCCACAAAGTCTGCATAGACATCGGTTGCTTTTTAAACATTCAAAATGTAACAAATTTGAAAAGATAAGTGTTGGTTTCCAAACCAAATATATAATCGACGCATTTCCTTCTCATTGAACGCTATTTACACAGAAAATAGGGCTCCATAGCAAAAGTGAGAGAGAGAGAGAGAGAGAGTGAGAGAGACAGTGAGAGAGAGTTGTAAACGTTCATTTTATTTTGGCCAAAGCTGCCGCTCTTCGCTCTGTGTTCTGGAACAAAGCTCGGATCAGGCTCTTTGCCTCGTTTGGAGAGAATTCCGCAGCGAGTGGACCTTTCCCGTCCGTCCATCTAAAGAGGGGAAAGGGGGGGGGGGGGAGGAGAAGGGAGAATAAGCAAAAAAAGTTTTAAAGACAGAAATGGCCAACAAATTACAATTAATAACCCCTCCTCCCCCCACCCAATCCTTTTGATATTGAAAGATTCTGATTGTAAAAATTCTGACAACTGTAAGCGAGAGGTCTATAAAGCCAGGGAAATGGGACGTCTCAAGGCACTGGACAGTCCAAGGGGTGGGATGTTGGGGAAAAGAAGGCTGAAAGTATGGTCCGTCTTGAGGTGGACCTTGAAATCTTGAAGGAGATGAGGGAAGGGGCAAGTTGAAAGAAATCCAGGATAATAGCGAGAGTTCCAGAGAATAGGGACAGATAGATCAAAAGCCACATCTCCAATGGCAAGGCGAGAGATGTGATGCATTCCTTCTTATAGGAAATACCTCAGGATACAGTGTATAGTTTGAGCGGGATATGACATGTGCCAGAGACTGCTAGGATCAGCGAACTCGATGGATCTTGGTCTTCTTTTACCCGGCAAATTCTTATGTTCTTATGTAGGATGGTGATGAGAGCGAATGAAGGAGAAAAAGGCCACCATTTACTGACGAACACTCACCTGTCCACCAGCTCTTGTAAACTGGCCTGCAGCACGATCATTAGTTCCTTGAATTTCAGCCATTTGGGCACATAGACCGGAACCTCCTCCTGGTACTTCTTGTTTTTGCTCTTGCTCTCGTCAGACAGCGGCTGAAAGATTTGAGGTCCTTCCTCCAGCATGGTCCTGCACAGTGAATACAGGCGGTCGGCATCTTCTGAGGAAATGTCCTACAGCAGCAACAACAAATTGTATTTACGCAGTGCCCTTCGTGTCGGGAGGATGTCCCAAGGAGCTGGGACGAAGCAGAGAAACTTTCAAGACTGCTATAACCATTCTAACAAAAATCCTTAATACAAAACAAACTGGAGCTCGGATAGATATTTCCCATGAGCACAGACCAGAGAACAGTTCCTTCACCTCATCATTTGTTTCAAAGCAACCCAGTCCATCAAACAATGAGAATTACCGATTTGCTAGGTACTGAACTATACATATTTGGGACAATGGCAATTGAGCCTTCCTACACACAAGCATGCATACATATGCTCATGCACACACACCCCCACACAGACGCACACACACAAATAATTTGGGAAGCAAATTTTCAAAAATGCAACAATACATTCATTGCATTGATCACAAAATGGGCCTCAGGAGAAGTATCTCAATTGCTCATCGGTCTCTCCCTCCCTTGATGAACTCTTAGTTTGCTATCCTACAAGTCACTTGATGTCATTTCTTCGACTCGTTTATTTTCACAGAAAATATTCAGAGTGAGGAGAGAACGAAAATATTGGAGATGCCAAAGATAACAGTTGCGCAGTACGTCAGGTCCATATTGATGCGTCCGTAGGAAGGGACAGTAAAGGACTAGCGTAAGGCCTCACCGGTTCTTCCTTCCCTCAAGCCCGAAACTTTAAATGCCAGACACTATCGTTTGTTTAAAGAAAACAGAGGTGATCCATCATATTAATGTAAAAAGTCAGCTCAGAATGCAATATCTCTTGTTACAAATGTTATCTCCGCGTCCTTTAAATTACCTCTAGTGTTGTGACTTTGTTGACAATCTCTGTAATTGCCGTGTTAAGTAAAGTACCCATGGCTTTGCAGTATATATTAACAGGAAGTACATCTTGCCAAACTTTGCCCAGTCTCTTCAACTGATGGATGACCTGCAATCAGACGAAACAAGCAGATTAAAACCAACTTTTGCCGACTGCGGTGATAATACTCAACTAAGTTACATTCATCTGCAACAGTGTGCTGACCCTGCTCTCCACATAGCAGAACACCAAACAGCCAGACTATTCGCTGATCAGGGACACACATTGGCCATCTTCCTGCAGTTATAAACGCACTTTCTTATTAACGCAGCTTCGCTTTGTGTGATTGGGCAGTATTTAGTTTCCCTAAAAATGGGTCCAACATCGCTCGCAAAACCAAGGCCAACACAAAATGGTCGACAGGTTATTGGGTCATCATTTACAGCATCTGCAGTGGGAAAGCTTGCCACATCAATGATAAACTATGTGGTTTTAGCTGGTTAGACTCCAGCAGTTACCCCAATGCACACTCTGGGCTCCCCCCAAGCCTTGGCTCTCGCCAACCTGTGCCTAATACTTTCCGGAATTTGGTAAGCAGGATGACTTCTGAGAGAGCGCATTCCATTCCAACAACCTACCTCTGGAATTTCCAAGTGTAGGAGGGATACCTGGAAATATGCTTAGGGTTTGGATACTTTTAAGCACAGTGACTGGTTTCCGCGTGTGTCAAGGCACCCGGCTGGGCAAAAAAAACGTCATCACTTCCTGGTGGGAAGCAGCAATGGCGGTAATTTGATGAACCTGAAGTTGTTCCTTTTTTTGCTTTCGACTCGCTCTGTCCGTGCGGGGAGTGAGTGCGGAAATGCTGACCAGCGATCCTGCCGGCTTTAGTGCCGGTTGGGATTATAAAGATTCCATCTACCCCCATCATATAACAGGGCTCTGCACTGTATTACAAAGGTGGGTGGGAAATCATGATTAGGTTCTGAATGACAACATGATGGAAGGTTGGGAGTGAAACCACAGAAGCAATCTACATCAAAGGATCTAGCTGATAGCATCGACTGATGTGTGAGATAAAGCCAAAAGCAAGTTCTGCTCTCGTCACTTACAAGCTATGAAGGCGGCTGATCTTCGAGCTCAATCTCACTTGCAGCTAGAGATTCTAATCTAGGAGTTTTATAGTTTTAACAGTTTTTATAATGCCACTAAATAGGACACATTAGTCTCATAAGGAGGCCGTTCAGTCTGTGTTGCCATTTTATTAGATCACAGAAGATCTTTTTAATCCATCACTTTTCTCTTAATACCTTTCCCACGAATCTGTCTCTCAATCAATGGCCGTTTACAGCCTTCTAGAGCAGTGAATTATACTCCCCAATCTATGTTTTTTTTTCTCTGCATTCACCACGTTCATTTGATTTTCGTATTTAGCACTGGAGAATGTGGTTATTGGCCGTTTGTGGGACATTGCTGTGCGCAGATCGGCTGCTCCGTCCACCTACAAACCCTGTCACTACATTTCACGGTACATTTTACCCACAAAATATACAGTCAATTCACTTTACCGTACATTCTGTGAAGAGCTTTAAGACGTCTCAACAACGTGATAAGGATTATTATTATTAGATCCTGTGCAGTGCTTTGAGACTTCCTCCCAACGACTGCCAGGATGGTGGAAGGCGAACTGGTTGGACTTTGGTGTTCTTGCACCTAGCAAATTCTTATGATGTTCTTATTATGTTTACTTGGTAGCTTGGTTGAAACTTTGACACTCAGCAACAGGAAAGCTAATTATCACAATTAAATGCGTTAGTTTTTCCTGCGTGGCTGGTGCTCATTGGGGACAGCCGTTGCAAAAACAGAGGCTGCGAGAATTGGCTAATTTTGCGTCAAAACAAGCTGCTTAAAATAAATGCCAGTTTCAAACTCCCGCTTGTCATACCATTGTTGAGATCATCTGGTGACAAAGACATCGCCCACACTTCTAGGTGCTAAACTAAGCAGTTGGCACACCATGAACAATCACAAGATCTCCAAGAAAATAAAATGTTTCAGTCGATAATTAAGGTGCTTTATTGAAGTGGTCTCATTCTACCGCCATCCTCCACAGTCATTATTGGGATTGCTATGCTCGATCGGGCAATTTGAGCAGCGGGATACTCAAAAACAATTAATTGCACGGCTTCCGCTTACAATTTATGTGCCTCTAAAGGACAAACTCAGGAAAAAATACGAACAAAATCCCACCGGATATCATTCAGAGTTTTAAGAGCTTGCTACGGAGAAATTAAAAAGTACTAAAGATTTGCAGGGCAAAGTACGACTTGCTGAGTACTTCATCGATACTCCCGTTTTCATGACATAGTCTGATCTAAAAGTCACCCCGAGATCTGCACAGATTTTTGGCCTGATTGATACACTGTACACGACAGAATAATAGTAATTGATATAGTGCCTTATCACCTCGTTGAGTTGTCTTAAAGCGTTTGTACGATTGTAAAGGCAGTCTAACCTGTCTGACGGCTTTGTTCGCAGCCGAGTAATTATCCTCATCGTCGAGGTTGGAAAGGTTTCTTGCATTTGACAACCTTTCCAGCAACTCGTCCCTCTGCGAACGCAGCTGGGCCAAGAAGCACTCGGTCCCTGGCCACGAGAAAAGCATCGAGGTTTCAACAGGAGAAAGCACACACGCAAGCACTCAAACGCACACTCACAAGCACGCGCACACTCACAAGCATGCATACACACACAAGCATGCAAAGTTACACACATTCACTCGCGCACACACAAGCACAAAAGTTTGTCTTCCATATCAACATAGAATGCACTTCAACATCAATATTGCAGTTGAAATGATCAGTTCAAAACTTATAAAGCCACCAATCCATCAGTGGCCGCAACAGATTGATTTTAATCTCGCTTCAGCCACAGAATTTACAATCATGAGCAATTCTGAAGAATGAGGTGAGGGTAAATTAAAATCCATTCAGGCAAAACACACAATTTTCCTCGCCATTTTTTTAAGGGTTTATTACTTGGGATCTTCTGGGGAGAAATAATGAAAGCACAATTATACATCAAGAGTGATGGGAGTACTGTGAGCGACATCTGAAAAAACAACCTTTAAAGTGAGTGCAAAATAGTCTCTTTCCCAACTTCGGAGGTCTGTGCCAGATGCCAATGAGAGGCAAGAGCCATCTCAGTGAGGAAGTGAACAAGACAGGATGAAAGGGAAAAACATACAAGAAGACAAACTGTGCACACACCTGGTCACAGAGAGGAACTTACAATAAGAATGGGACAGATATTTGAACAGAACAAAGTTGCAAGGCAATCGAGAAGGAACTGGGGAGTGGACGTCGGCAGCTCCTTCAAAAAGCTGGCGCAGACACGGTGGGCCAAATGGCCTCTGTGCTGTAGGATTCTATGGTTAAAAAATATTACACTCCTTGCATTTGATATAGCGCCTTATCACGTCTTTGAGACATCTCAACACGCTTCACAGAATATACCGTAAAGTGAATTGCCTGTATATGTTGTCGGCAAAAATAAATATATATATTCTACGAACATCCACATTCTGAAATGCTATCCGCTCTAGAACAGTTTTGTTTAAATGAAAGAAGGAATCTTTGCTGTTCACTGCTAACTGAGTGTTACCATTTCCATTAACAGTGTTGCATTCACGTCGGGCAGCTGGCTTTATTGACGCACTGCGACGTGGGCAGTGTGAAAATCATGCCTATGAAGTGATGCCGCCTGCAGCTAACAAGCAGGATCACAAGGATCCCAGTTCTCCAACTTTCCCAGCCTGGACTGAAGTTTAATCTTTCATCAGCTGGAGAAGGAGAGCAGTGAGTGCTGCCCCCCCAGTGGTAGGTTAGAGCACTTTCCCCGCAAGCGAGAGGACCCAGATTCGATTCCCGGGAGGAATGAAACTCGAGGCAAGTTTCCTTACTTCACACACAAGGCTGTGTTTACCCAGCAGTAAGTAGGAACTGGTTGTTAGTCAATTGGCGGATCGCTTCTGCGGGTAATAATCCCTTAAAAAAAAGTTGAGTTATTCATTCCACGACGGTTTGTGGGACACTGCTGTTTGCAATTGGCTGCCAGTTATGCCCACAAAATGTAGTCAGTTCACTTTACATTATATTCTGTGAAGCGCTTTAAGATGCCTCAACGACAAGGATAATTATACATAATAATAATTATACATTATATCAGTCTCAGACTCAAAACCTCTACCTCTGCCTGAGGAGACGCCCAAGCCCCACTCACTCTCAATCAGAATTCACAGCAACATTCACCGCAGGGAGAAGAGATTTTTTTTAAAAATCACGCATAAATGACCCACATTCCACTTGAGTAACTTGCTCTGTTGGGCTGTGGGCATCTTTTTTTTTCCCCTAAAGAAAGGTTAAACATTTTAACAGGGCAACAAATTGCGGAGGGGGCTGGCGGCCCGGGGTGTGTCGTGTCTAGGATTATCGCAATCAAAGACATTGACTGTGGATTTGTAGCTACCGCTAAGCAGAGTTTCAGTGGCCAAATGAGGACAATATTCACAAGAGTAATAGCAAAAATAATAATAATCTTTGCATTTGATATAGCGCCTTATCACGTCTTCGAGACATCTCAAAGGGCTTCACAGAATATACTGTAAAGTGAATTGCCTGTATATTTTGTGGGCGAAACGCGGCAGTCAACTGAGCACAGCAGCGTCCCCACAAACAGTCGTGGATTTAGTGAACAATTGTTTTTTAAATTTCCTGCTAAATACTAACCTTGTGTTTGATGTAATGCCTTACATTTCGGAAGGCCATCTCAAAAGCGCTTCACGGGATTTACCGCAAAGTGTAGCGAACATGTATTTTGTAGGCGGCCAAATGCTTCCGATAGGAAACGTTTCGAAAGATTAGAATGAGGTCGGTGCTCAAATAAATAAGAAACCCAAAGGGAGCCTACCTAGGCGTCTAAAACTCGGCACCAGGTCGACAAAGGTAGCTGCTCCGTCACAAAGAGGGCTTGGCAAACTATAGCGGAACTGGTGTCCCATGGTGATCAGCTGATGGGCTATATACATGCAGTTGTTGTGGTGAATGGCTGCCAGCTGGGGCAACTTCTGCAGGTTCTCCCTGAATGAGATAAGAGGCGATTGGATTCAGCGAGAGGGGAAGACAGTCGGGTACATGTTTTGATTTACTAAAGCCGCGTACAGTGAGATGAGCAGCCAACAGCTCAGCGGCTTAGTGCACGCACGGACATGTACGAGAGACTTAATGCGGAGGTGAAAATTGTAGCCAGCCATGTGTTAATTAGCACATCATTGAAACAGCCGCCTTCCAGAACTGAACCCACAGATGGGTTGAAATCCCACCGTGTACATGCACAAAATCCCAAAGCCAGCCTGCCGCACCATGCTGGGCCACAGATTGCACGATTGAGTGCTGCTTAGCAGATTCATTCTGATATTATTGCCGAGTTAAAGCCATCTTCCGTCCCCGCAGTTCAACAAAACACGACCCCACCTCGCAATTTTCACCCCCACCCCGTGGTTACAAAACTCTGAACGCAATGGTGAAGAAATGAAAGGGTAGAGGGGATCACAGACTTACTTGTGATAGGTGGGGACCACATCATAGAATAAGTGGAAAATGTTTCGCACTGTGTAGAACAGCTGAACAGCACTGGAGAGAGAAAGCAATATGAAAAAAGATATAATCACCTCCAGGTGCACAAACCCAAAGTCTGCGTAACAATAATCCTTGCATTTGATATAGCGCCTTATCACGTCGTAAAGACGACTCAAAGCGCTTGACAGTAAAGTGTAAAGTGGTGTGTGTGACTGTGCGCATTTCATTGGTTAAACGTAAACGTGAATGTCAAAGTTACTGCAAAATCCAACTCTGTAATTGTGAGAGACTTCAAAAAAAACCTTTTGTTAAATTGATATTGATTTAAAGCAATGCAACGACTGGAAAGTAAAATAGGAACAGACAGAGCTATTCGGACAAGTTCTAAGATACATCTCTCCATTGGGAATTGGGCTGATGAGCTAGTGTACAAAGGAACACTGAAATTGACCAACCGATCACGTACCATCAATGAGCAGCTCATACATCAATTACAGGCCGTCTCTACCATCAATTACAGAAGAAATACCCACTAAGCAAGAGACATTTTGAATCTGAATCTGCAATGCACCAACCAGATAACCCGATGTGGAGTCCTGTAACGTGTTGGTTAAAGCACTCGCCTCACAAGCGAGAGGACCTGGGATCGATTCGCAGGCAGGGTGAAACCATAGGCAAATTTCCTTACTCCACACGCCTGTTTAGCGAGCAGATTACTTAAGAACCCGGATGTTAGCTGATTTGCTTAGCGCTTTTCTGGGAGTAATAATCCCTTCATAAAAAGGATACAAAATTATTTATTCACTCAATCCTTGACTGTTTGTGGGACACTGCTGTGAACAATTGGCTGCCTCTTTTCGCCCACAAATAGTCAATTCACTTTATAGTATATATACTGTAAAGCGCTTTGAGACGCCTCAAAGTCATGATAAGGCACTATATCAAATGCAAGGATTATTACTATAATCTTTTTTCTCAGTTAGTGTGAGACTGCATCAATTCAGCAATTTGTGTTTGTTTCATAGAAGGTACAAACAGCTCAATTAAAATGCGTGGTTAAATGTGAAATCTGTCTAGTTGTTCACTCTATTTCTATTACTTTTAAGTAATGACTCTGTCTGGCTTGTTCATCCCACTTAGAAAAAAAAAGCTTTGATCTGTGACCAGCTGGCAGAGTAAATAAGAATAATCCTTGCATTCTTGCCAGCAGCTCATTACAGAAAGTTGGTATGTAGGCCAGGCAGCCATTTAATAAAGCCTGGCACAGACTAAACCAATATAAACCCTGAAGTGGGCTAGATAAATATGAACATATTGATAACTATCTTCCCTAAAAGGCTGTGGATGCTGGATCCATTCAAATTTTCAATACTGAAGCGGATAGATAGGTCAGGGTATCAAGGGATATGGGGCAAAGGCGAGTATTCTGGAGTCGCGGTACAGATCAGCCATGATCTAATTGAATGGGGCTGAATAGCCCCCGCCTGTTCCTATATCAATAGCAACCAAATTATTCAACCAAGTAAAAATGGCAGCCTCTTGGCTTCATTGTGCCTCTACAATGTCTCCCAACAACAGATGGTGATTGGGACATTGAAATTGTCACTCTACGAGAAACAATATCACCACTATTCAGTAAGTTTCATTTTTGGTTTAATTGGACTAGGTTTGGCCTTGTTAAAGCGTCAGACCCATTTGCAGCAACATTCTTAATGGTTTTATTAAGTGCCAAGTTAGTCCAATCAAATCTCTCCTGCATTCACCATTCAAAATTAGAATGTTAGGTACAGTTTGAAATGAATGCGCTGATTAAAGCACTTTGAGATACCCTCCTGACACGGAAGGCTCTATATAAATGTAAACTGTATTAACAATAATCCTTGCATTTAATATAGTGGCTTATCACATCTCAAACCACTTCACAGAATATACTAGAAAGTGAATTGTATCAAATGAGGCACAATATCTGTATTTTAGTGAAGCACATGCTGTGTGTTTGAGAGGCACACATGTGTACTAAGTGAAACACGTGTGTGTTGATAAATATGACAATAGAGCTCTGTTTCGTTGGCTATACCTGCTTGTCTTTTCCCCCTCTTTACCAGTCTTCAGTTCACACCTGAAGACTTTCCTCGTTGACCATACCTACAGTCGCCTCCCCTCTCTTGCTGGTTCATCATCAAGCTCCACCATGGTTAAGCCCTCAGAAACGCTACCCTACTTGAAAGCCACTGTATAAATTCAAAGCGTTGTTTTTCTTCTTATGTGACATAATAGCATATTTCAAGACAGAACCCAGAACAAAAAAATGCCACCACAAACTAAGAGGCAGAATTTTAGAAGTAGTGGGCCGTAGTAAAGTAAAGCCTTATACAGGGTGACCAAAAAGTCAGGACATCATTTATTTTACTAATAATTACTTTATTTCTTCAAAGAGAGTTCATTGCATTAAAAAAAATCTTCATTTTAAGATTTAAAAATAAATTAAAACACATAAAAAGATATTGTTGCAATGGTATCATGACTTTTTGGTCACCCTGTATAAGGTGGTGGTCGGGGTAGACGAACGTTCCAGTTAAATTGACCATTGACGCTTCTACAAGAGCACACGCAACTCAAACCATGTAATGAAACAGCATCAGGAACAAGGAGACCAAAATCAGGAATGTACTGTAGATACGAGTATCTGCTGCCACCTGGTGCTCCACAAGCAAATGCGAACTGAATGCGAAAAACAGTTTGAAAGTCCTTTTGTACAAAATGTTAACATCTTTAATGTTTGTATCTCAAAGTCCCTTTGAGGTGCTTTCTGTGTTGACACGCTAGTTAATTTTCTGAAACCCTCTCCTGAGCTCAATCCCTCCCGCCTAGCCCCCTCCTCCCCATCATGAGGTCACGCCTGAATACCTTCCTTTTCGACCGTGCTTGTGGGACGGGACGTGTGTGCGTATGTGTGTGTGTGTGTGCGCTCAGTGTTGTGCTCTGCCACTGTCAAGCACTCTGGGACTCTACCCGGCATGAGGGGCTCTATATAAAGCAACTTCTCGTTGTTGACGTAAACACAAGCAAGTTTATACAAAGTTAGCAGCGGAGAGAATGCTGCCCTCTATTGTACAGATTTTCTTCGAAGAAAAAAGTTACATCTGGACATTATATTATTACTTATAACAATAATTATAAATAATCTTTACGTTTGATTATAGCACCTCTCATATAGTATATATATACACACAAACATATAATTATAATAATCCTTGCATTTGATTATAGCTTTTTTCACACCTGAAAATGACTATATTTGTGGGTGAAACACAGCAGCCATTTGCGCACAGCAGCTTCCTCACAATCAGTCGTGGATTGAAATGACCAATTTTTTTTATTTTTTTTTTAGGGATTATTATCAGGCTTGTAGAGTAAGAAACTTGCCCAAGGCTTCACAATGCCGGGAAGCAAACCCAGATCTCTCGCTTGCAAAGCGAGTGCTCTAACCACTGAGCTACAGGACTGCACAATAGCCTGATATTAACAGTGAGAACCTCTATATAGTCTGATATTAACAGTGAGAACCTCTATATAGTCTGATATTAACAGTGACACCTCTATATAGTCTGATATTAACAGTGACACCTCTATATAGTCTGATATTAACAGTGACACCTCTATATAGTCTGATATTAACACTGACACCTCTATATAGTCTGATATTAACAGTGAGAACCTCTATATAGACTGATATTAACAGTGAGAACCTCTATATAGTCTGATATTAACAGTGACACCTCTATATAGTCTGATATTAACAGTGACACCTCTATATAGTCTGATATTAACAGTGAGAACCTCTATATAGACTGATATTAACAGTGAGAACCTCTATATAGTCTGATATTAACAGTGACACCTCTATATAGTCTGATATTAACAGTGACACCTCTATATAGCCTGATATTAACAGTGACACCTCTTCATAGTTTATATGTGTATATATACACACACACACAAAAAGCTGTGTTTGGTTGATTATAAGTGACGCAGCAACATAGTTTGGTACCATCATTCAAAACAGTGAGTCAGAGCCTAAAGAGCAAAAGCGGAAGAAAGAAATTCACTCATTTAAGTCATTGCGACCAATATAAATATATTCAATATAAAAATGCGCAAAGTACGAATTATGTCAAACTTGCATAGAATATTATCTCTTGAAGGGACTTACAACAACAACAACAACAAATTTGTATATCGCCTTTCACGTCGGGAGGATGTCCCAAGGCGCAGATGACTTCGGCAGATGTACGACTTAGGTAAGCGACTGCACAATTTATACAGATCAGACCTGCCCAAGTTTTACTTTATTTCTCACCCTGTGAGCTCCTGTCAAAAGAGGACTTAAATAGTCATGTTCGGAACTGTCCTCTGAGAAAAGTACAGCGTTAAGACAGAATCTCTGTGATAAGTAACCATAGGTCGGAGACGATATACAAATTACTTTTGTAATCCAGGAAGTGAAAGTGTACTCATCAACTTATCCTGGATTTCTCCCACTCCCTCTTGAGGAATGAAATAATTACAGATGTGAAGGAAGCAGATGCACGGTATACAGACACTTATAATCAGTCCCACCAGGAACATTGCAGCCGTACAAGTGACAGCTATTATATTCAGTGAAATATTACACAAGACATGGTGGGGGTGGACAGACAGATCAGCATCTTAGAAACTTGAGCATGGAGGCAAACTTGCAATCTTACGTGAGAACATCAGAATTGCTAGACAAAAGACCACCAAGATCCATCCAGTCGCCTTCCGCCATCCTGGCAGACACATGCGCAGGTCATGTCCCAAACTATATGCTGTACCCCACAATATTATTTCCCAATAGAAATCTATCTGATTTGTGATGTACCTTGAAATGTCACAAAGGACTTGCATAATTTTTGTCAAGTGTAACGACTCCGTTTTCTTAATGCATCCAAACAGGAGAGATTATAAATGGTATTACAATTATTAGAATCTGCAAGAAAATGAGATTCTCATGAGGTGAACACCGCTATTTATGTGGCTGACCCTAAAAGCTACAACTACAGAGGTCATTACCAAAACATTAGTATCAGCTACAAAGCCTGTGAAAAGAACCTGTAGGGAGTGTATTTAACAAAATAAATATTTGAATAGCCAGTTCAATGTTGTATTTAAAACCCAGCGAGAAACACTGCTGAAAAGAGTAAATTCATCCGGGGTTAATAATCTCTTCCAAACCAAAAATATTAACAATAATTTGGTCAATCAATCCAAGACTGTTTGTGGGACGCTGCTGTGCGCAATTGGCTACTGCGTTTCGTACACCAAATACACAAATCAATTCACTTTACAGTATATTCTGTGAAGCACTTTGAGACGTCTCGAAGACGTGCTATATAAAATACAAGGATTATTATATTATTATCACTGTCTGTCTGACCCATCTCTTACCACTCATTGGTTGCATCCGTGGCTTCTGACAGGGTTTGGTAGGCCAACTCGATCAGGTTCTGGACAGATTCGCTAATGCGGCAGGCAGGCAGGCACAGCGAGCGGTAACCGAGCTGCTTCTCGTTCCCTAAACTCACTATATCTTGGGCAGCCGGGCTGGTCACTTTCGGCACTTTTGCCTTCCTGGCCGGGGCGGGTAGTTTTGGTAAAGGCATTTTAGAATCTAGGGGTATCTGAAGGTGAAAAAACAAAAAATAGTCGACCGAGATTTCAGATTAGCAATTTTGTATCACATTCAAATTTGTCTTGCAAAACGAAAGCTAGAATTAGAGAATACAATTTTCATTTATATTGCGCATTTTATGTGGGGTGGCGGTGGTGGCGGGGGGAGAGAGCGCTTCACACTAATTGTTGAGCAACCAAGCTGGAGGAGAATTATACAGCCTTAAATGAGCATTCAGCCATTAGCCATGGGCTGACAGGGCTATTTAGTTGCACTCCTATGTCATTTCTCCATTTATAATAATAGTAGTCCTAACATTCGATATATCGCCTTTTCACATCGTTGAGAAGTCTCAAAAGCGCTTCAAAGAATATAAAGTGCACTGACTATTTTTTGTGGGTAAAACGCGTGCAGCAGTTTCCCACAAACAGTTGTTTTAAGCTGCAAGGCTAACCAAACAAGGTTTCAGAACAACAAAGTCTTTCTCACTTAGTCACCCAGATCACGAGCAGCTTTGCTGAGATCTCCAGACTTGCTATTGGCAGGTTTTTGTCAAGTTACATCCTAACCTGCAAGGTGCAATGTTCCACATCCTGAACATAGCACACCTGAAGATTCAAACATCATTTGCCCACAAAATAGTCACTCCACTTTACAATATATTCATTCTGTGCAGCAGAACGTCTCAAGACGTCTCAATGATGTGATAAAGCACTATATCAAATGCAAGGATTATTATCATACATAAGCAAATGTAGTGCTGATTGGTGTTTTTAATAACACTACAGTACTTTACAGGGAACAGTCCGATGCTCTACTTGAGGCGCTACATTGACCACACTGGCAGGCAGACCTTCAGCCTCTCTGACTCCACCCTCTGGAACTTAAACCCAGTCCTTCCACCTTTCCCCCCAAGACCCGTCTAAAGACCCTCCTCTTCATCCTTCGGTCACCCTCCTACCTCTACCTTGCCCGCCCTCCACCCCTGCTGATCCCAACCAACAACAACAACAAAATTCCATTTATAGAGCACCTTTCACGTCGGGAGGACGTCCCAAGGCGCTGAAACCACCAGCTTGGGTTTGGATTCCCGACTGTCCAAGTGAAAGGCGCTATACAAATGTAATTTTGTATTGTTGGATTGCATTTAGGTGCTTCACCTTCACAGTGTTGTGGATCTCGGTCGTCATGAGGATCCTAGCAGTCACAATCACGTCTTGGCATTTTTTGCTGGCAAAGTGAGTGTTTATGTTCCTGGCGTATTCCAGCAGGTCAGTGGAATCACTGTTTAAAACCTGCAACTCTCTGAGTTTGTCCTCAAACCTTTCCGTTTCTTTTATCACCTAGGGGAGGAGAAAGAAATTTTTAAAAATCAGCCCATTACAATGCAGTGTCTGAAGGGGACTTAAACCATCGCGTTAAGCATTCAGAGAGATCACTGACCGTGAAGGGTACTATATAGAATCATAGAACCTTACAGCACAGAAGGAGGCCAACTCGGCCCATCGTGCCTGCGTTGACTTTTTGAAAGAGCAATCCAATTAGTTCCACTCTCCTGTGTCTTTCCCCATAGCCTCGCTAAAAAAAATTTCAAGTAACTATCCAATTCCCTTTTGAAACATATAAAGTTGTTGTAGTAAAGGGGTCAGCCTCAGCCTGTATTTCAAAACATAAAGTAAACAATTTGCATTTAACTAGCGCACTTCACGTGGGGTGGAGTCCTAGAGCGCTTGACAGTGGCGGAGTCTGACTCCGAGTCAGGGGCTTCCCGGGTATCCTTTAAATCCAAGACTTCTGAAGCGATCCAAGCTTTCTTTACTCAGCAGATTCCAACGGTTGCCAATTAATTTTCCTGATCTGCCAGCAGGCAAGCTTTAGTGTCGCACATCTTCTTACCTCTTCATATTGCTCCAGTTGGCTGCTGTTGGCTGGTATCGAATTTACTAAACAGTTCTTAATAATGCTTTCGGATAAATCCTTCCAGATCATGGCACCCAGCATCTCTGCCAGGATTACATCCTGCTTTGGATTAAAGTCCACAGAATCCCCAACAGGCGCATCTAATACCAACATGAAAGGAAAAGATAAAACAGATTTTAACCATTCAATGCTAACCTTTCTTAAAAAAGTTATAAATGATGCAGGTAAAATTATTTCACAAAACAGCTGTTAGAATAATCCTTGCATTTGATATAGCGCCTCATTGAGACACCTCAAAGCGCTTCACAGAATATATCATAAAGTGGACAAAACGCTAAATGCAGATCCTGGAAATCTGAAACAAAAATAGAACTCAGCAGGTCAGGTAGCATCTATGGAGAAAGGAAAGTGAGTCAACGTTTCGGGTCCACAAAACGGTTCTGACGAAGGGTCGTGGACCTGAAACGTTGACTCACTTTCCTTTCTCCATAGATTGTGCCTGACCTGTTGAGTGTTCTCAGCGACTTCCTACATTGTAAAGTGGATTGACTGTACATTTTGTGGATGAAACGTGGCAGACTATTGCGTTTTATTTAGTTTTGAAAGGATTATTACCTATGGAATGCGATCTGCCAATCAGCTAACAACTGGGTTCCTACTTATCGTAGGTAAACTATTAGTTAGGGGAGAGAGTACCAATCACAATTTTGTAGTCTTTGAGAAGGAGATTGGAAGAGAGGGAAAGATTAAAAAAAGGACATACTTAGCAGATGTTGATGGAGAAAGCCCATGACAACAACCATCTTGCGGTAAACCTCAACCGGCGTTGTGTGATTTGACTTGCTTTTCATTGCACTGAAGCGCAAAATGGCGTCGTGTGTCTGAAGTTCAATCTCAACATCGAGGAATGGATCGACTATCAGTGGCTTCAGGATATATTTCAGCAGCTTCTGACCTGTAACATTCAGAAATGTGCATGCCATGAGCTTTAAAGGACCTGGTGGGAGAGGAGGCTGGAACATATGCACAAAATTATATGACTCATTCAGTCAAGTGCGGAGTCATTTACTCCACAAATTGGAAGCTTATTATTTTGGATTGTAAGTGAAGTTTTACCAATTACATTTTATATGCCTGCTAAGCCATTATACTCAATTCCGACTAACCCAGCCAAGAATGGAACAGCAAACTACAACAACTTGCATTTACATGGCGCCCTATAGGAAGAATATGTGGAATGCAATGTGGTGAGATTAGCAGCCCCCATTCCACCACCCTCTTCTGCACCAATCATATTCTCCCCTCACCTTGCCCTTTATCCAACATGGAATTAAAACCAGTTTGTAATGGATAACACCCATAGTAATATTTGTATTTGGAAAAAATAATTATTTGAGCCAAATTTACAGGGGAAACTTTCTTACTGAAGAATTTCAACTTGCTGTTCAGTTCACCGAGGATGGCAAAGGCCTGAAGGATGGAAACCAGTAGAGGCTCCAGGTCACTCTTTTTCTTCGGTGTCATGTTACACAAGCGCAGCTCGGTCTTCAAAGTCCACTCAAGTAAATCATCCGCTGGACAAGACATAGGGGAAATTCAAGATTAGTTCCAGGGCTATTCTCACTTGCTACAAGTCAAGCTGGAAGCCAGGTGCACTGCTCTTCCAGTTAACACAGGTCCATTGACTACCCCAATCACCAACACCATAAGTGAAGCAGCACTATTCTAAAGATTGCTGTAACAGTCATAAACCCCAATTTTTTTCTTACACGGAATTACAACCTGTTCAGCTCCATTTGGAATGTATAACACTCGTGTTCCACAATATTAATTCTGCGCATGAAAAAAAGCGCACAAAATTCACAAATAAAACTTTCTTACTAAAGAATTTGCTGAAGGAGGATTATTAAACACTTTTTATCAAGAGGACAATACAACACATCCCAACGGAGCAAGAGAATGAAACAGAAGAGACAGGGAGAGAGAGGATAAAAAAAAATGTGGTACTTTGAACATTACAATTTTAGAATGTACAACCCATTGGCAAAAGATGCAAAAGTTTTCAAATGAATTTTTTCAAATTAACAAGACTTATTTTCAGAACTATTTTACTTTTGTGCTGTGAGCTGCCTCACCCTTTGTCGGAGCTGGTGAAGGGGGCAGGTTCCAGACAGCCAGCTTCCGCCACTCCTCGTTCAGATGATACAGCAGGTTCTCCTTCTGGATGATGAGCTCAGTGCTCAATGCCTGCAGGATCTTCAGCTCAAAGCCCTTCCTTGATTTGAGCTGTTGAAGGCTGCACTGAGCCTGCCAGAAACAAGCAAGCACACAGTTCAATGTTAAATCCTTTCATACAAAGTTCAAATCTCCAGCTTCACAAATCTTAACAGCGTTGTGACAAAAATGTCCTGCGTCCTTATAACAACAACAAACATTTACATAGCGCCTTTCATGTCGCGAGGATGTCCCAAAGCAGAGTATTGCGTCAGCCTGGCACACTGGTAGCACTCTCGCCTCTGAGTCACAAGGTTGTGGGTTCAAGCACGTCTGGACTTGGAATCGCATCGTCTATGTCGAGATTCCAATGCAGTGCTGAGTGGGGAAGGGTGTGTTGAGTTATTAGAGGTGCGTCCTGTGGATGAGATGTTAAACTGAGGTCCCGTCTGCCTTTTCAGATGGAAGTTAAAGATCCCATGACACTATACGAAAAGTGAAGGGAATTTCTCTCTCCCGGTGTCCCAGGCAATAAATCTCCCAAATAAATTGGTCACTCATGGCTGTTTGCGGGATATTGCTGTGCGCAAACTGGCTTCCTTCCACATTGCGCTCACAAAATACAGTCAATCCACTTTACAGTTCATACCAAAGTACTCTGAGACGTCTCGACAACATGATAAGGCACTATATATAGAATAATAGAAAGACTTTCAAATGAGATATTAAACAGTCTGCCAATCATATCAGTGAAGTGACAACTCCAACAAACTTTTTTGTAAGGTGTCCCCATTGCTCGAAATGAACATAAATAGTAAACAGTAAAGTTATTTCAAAAGCCACTTGTGTGGGGTGGGTGAGCCTTACCTTGTTGAGGTGAGTAGCAGCTTTGGAGTAGTTCTTTTCTAACAAAGCTCGGTGGTTGCTTTCAAGGGCAGTATCAAACTGAGGGAAAAAAAGCAAGAAAAAATATTGTTATTAAAACAAATCATTAACATAGGAACAGGAGTGGGCCATTCAGCCCTTCGATCCTGTTCCACAATTTAATTAGATCATGGCTGATCTGTACCTCGACTAATCCTTTCAATTCCAATTTCCTGCTTTCTCTCCATATCCCTTAATATCCTGACCAACCAAAAATCTATCAACTTCACTCTTGAAGGTGCGGCTGGATCCAGGATACCAAACACAACGAGTATTCTCAGAGATCTTGAATTCCAAAATGTACAATCTCTGGACTAAACTCTGGCATCACAAAACCTAGACTAGCAAACTAAAACTCCTATACAGAGTAAGTGATCAGATTTGGCTCACAGCGCTGGGATATTGTCAGATTTTGTAAATCTCAATTTAACACTTCACATCACAACAAAAAATTACATTAGTATAGCGGCTTTCACACTGGGAGGACGCCCCACCGATTTGCCAATAAAAGGAATAGTCACTTCATTTGGTAACAATTACTGGTTATGTACTTTAAGACTCGCTTTAGTTGCTATCTCAAATGTATATTTATTATTAAATTGATTGTCTTTATATTTTAAAAATATACAAGTATTTAAAGGACAAACTCTGGTTGCCAACAAACATTCACTGAAGACAAATCATAAAATACACCTCTTCTTCCCCTTCCCCCCATGCCCAACCCCCAACTCACCTCCTGTAGCTGCCTCAGCACACTGAGTAAAAGTGTGCTTTTTTCCAGCTGTTGCTTCAACTCACTGAACTCAGTCACAGCAACTCGGAGGTCACGTTGCACCTGTACAGGCAAAGCAAGATCACAGGGCTGATTTAAGGATTGAAGTGCAAAGCAATCAGGTATTCTGTGCGCCAGGATAATTTCAAGAGGTTTCTGTTTTATTCAGAATCAAACCCATCCACACTCGTAGATTCACAATAGAAAACGTTAATTAAACTTCTCTCAACTCTTTGAACCCACGGTCACAATACGAGATATGCAATCTGCCAGGCAGCTAAAAAGAGCACTTGAAGGCTTTATTATTTTACATTATTTTGTACATATGTAATGGCCTTTTAGCGGCTTGTAGTCGCAGCTTCTTGGGGGGCAGAATAATTGCAGCAGCCGGTTGTTCTGCCCTCCAACTACCTCTCAATGCCACGGCCTCAGTATACTGAGTGCTCCCAGCAACTTCTGTTTTTATTTATTTCAGATTTCCAGCCTCTGCAGTATTTTGCTCATTTCCTTCTTGAAGATCCTCTTCAGTCAATACCTCGTTTTCAATCTGTGATTTCAGAAGGTCGATCTCCATCGAGATTCCATCCACCTGAGATACCAAATCCTCTGCATTTTTCAAACTTGGGATAAACTCCTCGTACTTCTTGTTGATCATGTCGCACACCTCACCCTGAGATAAAACAAAGCCGTCTTACAAGTGTCACAAGTCTTTTCTTCGCCTCAGCAGCACAACAAACCGACAGGAAAATTACAGCAACCGCTTGACTTATTCATTACAACCAGAAAACTCCCCCTTCCTCAGCAGCAATCCTCTCCCTTCACCTGCACACCCCCCACCACCAGGAGCCTCTCCCCCACCCCCACCACTCTCCCCCTCCCGAACCCCTCTTTCCCCCCTTCCGAACCCCTCTCCCGAACCCCTCTCCCCGAACCCCTCTCTCCCACCCTCTCCCCCCCTCCCGAACCCCTCTCTCCCCCTCCCCGACCCCCTCTCCCCGAACCCCTCTCTCCCACCTTCTGCCCCCTTCCCGACCCTCTCTCTCCCCCTCCCCGACCCCCTCTCCCCCCCTCTCCCCGAACCCCTCTCCCCGACCCTCTCTCCCTCCCTCCCGACCCCCTCTCCCCGAACCCTCTCCCCCCTCCCGAACCCCTCTCCCCCCCTCCCGACCCCTCTCTCCCACCCTCTCCCCCCTCCACGACCATCTCTCCCCGCCTCCCGAACTCCCCTCCCCGACCCTCTCTCTCCCCCTCCCCGACCCTCTCTCTCTCTCTCTCTCCCCTGAAGACTCCCTCGGGTCCCTCTCCCCCTCACGCCAGCGCCAGCCCCAGCCCGGCCCCCTCCCCGGTGCCAGGCTCGCGGCCTGGTGGCCTCCTCAGGGCCCCCGCTTTGCTTTTCCTTCTTACAACAACAATAATAATATTTTTTTTTAAAAAAAACTCCTATTTCACGTCCTTACCTTCACCTCGTCCACCCTGCGCGACAGTTTGCTGATCTTGATGCCGATATCCTCCTTCTCCAGCTTCCCCGACGACGCCAACACCTCAGCGACGAACGACGACATCTTCCTTCCTCCCCTTCCCGCCGGCGGCGGCCGACGCCGACCGTTAGCGGCCGAGCTGCCTCTCACTGCGCAGACTCCGCCCCGCCACGCCTGCCGGGAGCTGTAGTTCTTTTTTCTCCCCCCCCCCTTCTTCACGTCAGCGCCCTCGTTCTGCGCCTGCCCCGCACCCGCGAAGCACTCCGGGAGTTGTAGTTCGCGCACTCTCTCCCGATCTCCGGCTTGCGGGCTGCGACCCACTCCGGACGCATGCGCGTCGCGCGCATAGAGCTTATGGGAGTTGTAGTTCTCTTGCTGCCGCCCCGCCTCGCTTGTAACTACAACTCCCGTGAACCATCGCGCTTTCTATTCAAACCCAAAGGCGGGAGGGCAGGCAGTCCACCCACCATCCACGTGGGAAGAGGATCTCTTGAATTATTTACTACTACTACTAATAATAATCCTTGCATTTGATATAGCGCTTTTCACGTCGCGAGGACGTCCCAAAGCGCTCCACAGAATATACTGTAAAGTGAATTGACTGTATATTTGTGGGCGAACGCGGCAGTCAATTGCGCACAGCAATAATAATAATAATAATAATAATCCTCGCATTTGATATAGCGCTTTTCATGTCTTCTAGACGTCCTAAAGAGCTTCACAGAATATACTGTAAAGTGAACTGTCCCAGATTGAAAATGACCAATTTATTATTGTTTTTGGTTTTGGAGGGATTATTATTAGGCTCTGTGTGGAGTAAGGAAACTTGCCCAAGGTTTCGCCCTCTGCCTGGAATTGAACTCAGGTCTCTCACTTGTAAAGCGAGTGCTCTAACCACTGAGCTACAGGACTCCACTAATCTACAGAAGCTCGCAAAGTAATATTATTAATAATAATAATCCTTGCATTTGATATAGCCCGGTGTTGAGACGTCTCAAAGCACTTCACAGAATACATTGTAAAATGAATTGACTGTATATTTTGTGGGCGAAACCCAGCAGCCCGATTGTGTTCAGCAGCACAATTATGGACTGAATGACCAAATTATTATTTTTTTGAAGTGATTCTTACCCCCTGAAAGTGACTAACCAACCGGGTTCCTACTTACTGCTAGGTAAACGGGAGTGTGGAGTAAGGAAACTTGCCTGAGAACCGAACTCAGATCCTCTCACTTACGAGGCGAGTGGTCTAACCAGTGTGCTACACGTCCCCATTATGCAGTAAAAGCAAGATCATTGGTGGTGGGGGGGCAACATTCGCACCAGATAAATATGGTAAAATTCAGTAAGCTCGGGAATTATTTTTGTTTATTGAACCGAGGTGAACATCAAGGCTGAAGATTGACATTAGTAGACATGAAAAGAAGGGACAAATATAGACTGGGGGTGTGGGGTGTGGGAGTCAGGCGTTGAAACAAGCTTTTAAAAGAGTTCGGAGCTCATAGCACTTTTTGAAAGAGATTCTGGAGGAAAGTACCACGAGTCAAATAAGAGAAAGAGTTTCCAGGGAAATAAGTATGAGAAGCTGTAGTGAAATACTCCATGCAGTTTAGTTTGGCTGCTGCTCAGACAGAAGAATGTACAACAGGTCATCAATGATCAGGGCACAATATCAGTTAAGGTCTCTTTGTGGTTTGGACGAGATGCTCATCATGCTCAGTTGCTCAGTTCTGATGAAGGGTCGTGGACCCGAAACGTTAATTCACTTCCCTTTCTCCATAGATGCTGCCTGACCTGCTGAGCGTTCCCAACCACTTCTGTTTCAGTTTCAGATTTCCAGCATCTGCAATATTTGCGTTTTGTTTATACGAGACAGTCTACTGCTAATTCATTATTGATGAGGCACATTGCCTTAGGAGCCAGAGGAGGCAACTTGCTGATATAGCCTCAAGCAATTCATCAAACAGCAGCCTGCTTCACATTTCGCCCCCCACTCTCCCTTCTGATCCCCCACACCAACGGGCAAGCGTTTTTGGCCATTCTCCTCCATTCTGGAGGCCCTCCCCTCGCGCCCCCTGGCTCCCTTCCCGCTTTCAAACCCAACCCCAACCGGATATTAAACCAGATCCTCTTTCTTTGGGGTGGGGAGTTATCGCGACGTTAAATGCTTCAGTGGGAAGGCTGGAGTTTAAGTGGCTTTCTCTCTCAATTTTAATCCCCACTTGGATTCAGAGTCAGACCTGATCACCAATGCGGTGGAATTATATCTCCAAATCGGACTCCTTAACGTCCACGCTCATTTCCTCCGTGATATTGTGAATCATGGAAGCCAGATTTCCATCGTAGTCTTCCTTATGCTGAGCGGCAGGGCAGGTGAGTGCCAGGTGATCCCAGTTCAGGCTGAGCACAGATTGCTCATTCATCTCCAGTTCCTTCGCCTCCTCCATGTCTTTGGCGCTGCCCGGTTGTATATTCAACTCAAACGTCTTGTCAAACAGGTTGTAGTCGACCTTGAAGGCGCCTTTGTCCATCGTGATGCATGACTCAAACCGGTGACCCCACAGAATCTCATCCTCTGTGTAGGATGTCCTGGCCTGGCAAGTCATTCCTGTACAAGAACATTCAACAACATGTATTAAAATCGCGCAACTTCACTCTGAATAACGTCTCGGAGTGTTTCACAACAACATTGTTTGGACACTGGGCCAAAACATAATAATGATAATAATAATCCTTGCATTTGATATAGCACCTTATCACGTCGTTGAGTGCCTTGGGACATACTCCTGATTTGAAAGGCGCTATACAAATGTAATGTGTTGTTGTTGTTGAGACGTCTCAAAGCGCTTCACAGGATACATTGTAAAGTTAATTGAAACACGGCGGCCAGTTTGCCCACAGCAGTGTCCCACAAACAGCCGTGGTCTGAGTGACCAATTTTATTTGGGGAAATTTTTGTCTAGAACATCAGGAGAGAGAAACTCTTTTTGAATAGTGATGCTGGATCTTTAATGTCCACCTTAACAGGTAGACGGGGAGCTTGGTTTAACGTCTCATCCAAAGGACAGCACCTCTGACAATGCAACACGCCCTCACCGTGCAGTGGAGAGTCAGCTTACATTGTGTAAATTCGAGTCCCGACCTCGGGGCTTGAACCCACAACCTTCTGACACACATGTGCCCTCCCGTGCCACCCGGACGCTACAGGGTTTAACCGAACTCACCAGTCGATTCCACGATACCCTCTAAAATTACGATGATCTCAAATTGCTCCTGCCTCAACGTCTCGGACCGCATCTCCCAGAAGGGGCTCTCATCGTTGATGTGGTGGCAGATGATCTGAGGTTCTACAAGGAAGAGCCTGTCCTTGCCAGTGTCGTAGCCAAGGTTGATTTCCGATTGCTCCAAAGGGATGAATTCCCCTTCCTCGGTGTGCCTGGACTTGATGAGCTTGGCTCGGATCTTGGCATCCACCATGTGACTGTCCCTCAAGTCTCCCAGACGGAACATGAGCTGGAGCTTCTTGTCCCTGTGGGACACCACACAGTGTTTGCTGAACTTTAGGGTCTCGGCGCGTTTTTTGGGGCGGGCGATCTTGACGAACATGCAGCCCACCATCATTGCGTCGATCATGGACCCCACGATGGACTGGGCCATGAGCATCAGGAGCCCCGTCACACAATTGGAAGTCACCATGCGCGAGCCGTAGCCAATGGTCCTTTGACTCTCAACGGAGAAGAGTAAGGCAGAGACAAAGCTATCTACGTTCTCAAAGCAAGGCTCCCAGTCCTCCTCGCCTTGGTGGTTTAGGTCGTCCCAAATAAATGCAGTCAGGAAATACACGATGCCAAAAAGCACCCACGTCACCATGTAACACATGGTGAAGATGAAAAGGAACCATCTATACTTCAGGTCGACAATGGTGGTGAAAATGTCAGACAGGAAGCGCATGTTCTCCCCGATGTCCCCCAGGTTGACCTTGCATTTGCCGTCCTTCATCACGTAACGCTGGCGTTTCTGCTTCCCCAACGCTGTGGCGAAGATTGGTCGATCATCATCCATCAGCTTGCACCTCTGCCGCAGGGATTTCTCCGAACCGGCCTTGGACAGGGCACTCCGGGAGAGAGTCCTGGTGCTCCGGGTGTAGTTTGGGATGCTGAGATCGCTCCCGGAGTGCCTGGGGTATACCCTGCCCCCCATGGAAATCCGGCGGTTGTGGGGCAAGTCGTCCGTGTTGATGGGGACACTCAACCTCTGTCTGGTGGACACTGCCGCTGGAGCCTGGCTGTACCTCCTCTGGTTGGGGGAGCGGACGCCAGGGAGGTTCGGGAACATTCCCGTCCACCTGGCAGAGGGGCACACGTTGTTTTGTAGCAGCCCTAGGCTTTCGTCCGTCACCGAGATGGCCACCGTCTCCGGCTGCAAGAGAGAAATTTTCCATCACCATTGAGAAAATCTTCTCCGTTCAAAATGAATCTGGGAAATTCTCTCCCGGTTTTCCGACCGGGCTCGTCAAGTCTCCTCAGAGCTGAATTGGCTCCAAGGTGACACGTTTGCCAACGGAATGTCGGAGTCGAGCCAGCTCTCTGTGGTGGTCTCGCTAGTCCAGTCCCTGAGCCAGGAAGGACCACAGTATATTCCAGGGTACTCACTGCTGATGACAACACAGCCCAACCTGGCTCAATGGCAGGACCAGGAAGGGCAGACCAGTGACAGGGGCAGGGAATCCTCCCCCTCAGCTCCTGTTAACCCTGAGCGCTTCTGCACCAGTGTTTTCTTCCCCAGGGGGCGAAGGCAACAGGTTATTCTTTGCGCTTGGGGACACCCCGAGTATTGAAGTGCGTCTCTCACCTTCTGCAGGAAAAGGGAATATCTGCTGGTGTTGATCAGAGGCTTCGGTAGGTACGCTAGCAAATGCTTCCCCTCGGGGGTTTGGGCCGGGGGATGGAGTTCCTTCTGGATCTGTTCTTGCCGTTCCTCGTGGTGGTGGAAGTGAGGTGGGTATAAACCCCACAAGCCCCCTTACCCCTTTGCAGGTCCATGCTGTAGCTCGTAATAACATTGGCCATCGTGCGATGCTCCTCACTGCCGGTGTCCACCCATTAAACACATGGCAATGATCCTGGAATACAAAAGAGACCAATTATTCCTTTTTTTTTGGTCAGCCGGGTGTCAGACGCACACGGATTTTCCCCGTGTTGAAAGTTCCCGCGGCGTTATTTGAATAGAGAAGGGAATTTCTCTCTCCTGGTCTTCCTGGCCGACAATCCTCCAAATAAAATTGATCACTCCCTCCATGGCTGTTTGTGGGACACTGCTGTGTGCAAACTGGCCGCCATGTTCCACCCATAAAATCCACAGTCACTCCACTTTACAGTATATCCTGTGAAGCGCTTTGAGACGTCTCGACGACAACAACAATGACTTGCATTTATACAGCGCCCTTCACGCAGGGTGGAGTCCCGGAGCGCTTGACAGCGGCAGAGTCTGACCCCGAGCCAGGGGGGAGAGGGAGGGGTTAGATGAACCGTAAGCCCAGTTAAAAAGGAAGGTCTTTAGGTGCGGTTTGAGAGTGGGAAGGGAGGGGGCAAGGCGGAGGGATTGAGGGAGAGAGTTTCAGAGTTTCAGGTTGTTGTGGCTGACGGCAAATTTGACATCTTTTTTAACAAGCAATCGCACACAAGGATAATAATGGTCTAAAAAAAAACCTGACCTTAATCCCGAGGAGGATACGAACGGATCTGGTCGTGTCACTATTAGAGCAGAACATTATGTCAAAATCTTTTAAAACAGACTATGAATGTGTTACATTTAAAAGAATTAAAAGGAATCTCAATTTTAATTTGGGGAAAAAATTCCTTCTCTATCGTTCTTCAGAATTTATCACAGACCTAAACCTCAGCTCAAAGTGAGATCTCATTAGCTCTCATTCCCTCTCTTGTGACTCTGAGGTCAGGGGGAGATTACAGAAGTACCTCAATGTCTTACACAATTCCTTGCTCCTTTGCTGTCCTGCAGCTCAGTGGTTAGAGGCACTCGCCTCGCAAGTGAGATTCCTGGGTTCAATTCCCGGCAGGTCCAAACCTTGGGCAAGTTTCCTTGCTCCACACACACGGGCCTGATTATAATCCCTCAGGAAAAAAAGAATAATAATTTGGTCACTCAATCCACGAGGGTTTGTGGGACGCTGCTGTCCGCAATTGTCTGCCGTGTTTTGCCCACAAATATACAGTCAATTCACTTTACAGTATACAGCGGTTTGAGATGTCTCGAAGACACGAAAAGCACTCTATCAAACGCAAGGATTATTATTCTTTCTTTACTGCTCTGGTAACGATTTCAAGATCCTCTCAAGCCCTGGCACCACTTTACTTTTCTGACCTCCTCTATACCCCCACTCCAATACCAGCTGCCTCCACTCCGCTGGCTCTGGCCTCCTGCTCGTCCCTCGTCCTCTCTGCTCCACCATTCGGGGCTGCGCTTTCAACCACTACGGCCCAAGTTTTGGAGCTCTCTCCCCCAATCCCTCTGCCTTGCCCCTCCCACCTTCCCCTCTTTTAGATCACGACTGAAGACCTTCCTCTTCGACCGTGCTTGCAGTCACCTCCTCCCTCCCTCATCCCAGCTCGGTGTCAGGCTCCGCCATTGTTAAGCGCTCTGGGACGCTATAATGCATGAAGGACTCTGTGTAAATACACATTTTATTGTAAAGATTTTCACAGACTACAGTATGAAAACAGGTCATTCAGCCCAACTAGTCTATGCCAGTGTTTATTCTCCACCCATTCCTTCTCCCACCCAAACCCTTATTTTCCCCTCTCCCTCATATATCTCTCTCACTTCCTCTTAAACACATCAACACTCTCTGATTCAACCATTGCTTCAGGCAACATTCTCACTATCCTTTTTGTGACGTAATTCCTCCAGAATTTTCTCACTCACTATCCTATATTATACATTTCACCCACAAAATACAAAATAATAATAATAATAATCCATGCATGTCCTTTAGTGCCTTATCATGTCATTGAGATATCTCAAAGCACTTCACAGAATATAATGTAAAGTGGATTAAGTGTGTATTTTATAGGCAAAACGGGGCAGCCAATCGCACACAGTATTCCACTAACAGTTATGGATTGAGTGACCAAATAATTATTATTATCATTATTTTTGAAGGGATTATTACCCCCAGAAAGCGATCCGCAAATTGACTGGGTGCCTACTTACTGCTGGGTAACAGAGGGGTGTGGAGTAAGGAGACTTGCCTAGTGTTTCACTCTGACCGGGAATCGAACGACCGATTTAGTCTCTTTCCCCCCATACAAATCCAGTAGACACAGGACTGCCATGCGCTGGGACGGGTATTTGACTGTAAAGAAGCTGCCTTTGCCCACCCTGACCTGTTGAGGTCATTGCTGGCAGCAGATGTAAAACATAATCCAATTCTTCAAACCAGACAGAATGCATTTAATCAAATTTATTGCAGTCTGAGGGATTCATTAGCCTTTTAAAGGCTGTGATTAAGATAAAGCCTTTCAGGCTGGAACACAGAGGGGCTTCATTCGTAAGATCTTTTGGAAGGATCCAGTGGGATTTGTGCTTAATCCTCACCCTCTCCCATGCCCCCTTCCCCCTTTCCTATGGTACCAAAATAGATCGTTAAAAACATAAGAATTTGCTAGACAAAAGAAGACCAAGGTCCATACATGTCGTGTCCCAAACTATAGACTGTATCCCCCAGATATTATTTCCTGAAGAAATCTATTCAATTTGCTTTTGAAAGAATCAACACTTTCTGCTTCCACATCTGTCATCGGTCCGAGACTACATTTAAAACTCGCTTACTGAAATAGTGTTTCCACAAACTCATTTTCAATTTATCCCCCTTCAATCGCAGGCCGTGCTTTGTTGGCTGTTTGTGGAAACCTGACGTTTCTCAGACTGCACTAATCTCACTTTAGCCAAGCAGGGGTTTGGGGCTCAGTTGGCTTCATTACCAACCGCCACCCCCACCACCACCACCCCACCGGCCAGTTAAAGAGTGGAAACACAGCTGGGCTTCCCCTGATCCTGATAGAGATCAGAGTCCCACATTGGTGGGTAGGGAATCCAGAACAAGTGGGGTATCATTTTAAAATGAGTGCTAGGCCATTTAGGAGTGAAATTAGGAAGCTTTTTTTTACACAAAGGGTAGTGGAAATATGGAACTCTCTCTCCCAAAAGGCTGTGGATGCTGGATCCATAAAAATTTTGAAGACTGAGGTGGATAGATGTTAGGTCAGGTATCAAGGGATATGGGGCAAAGGCAGGTAATTGAAGTTGAGGTAAATGTCAGCCATGATCTAATAGAATGGCTGAACAGGCTCTAGGGGCTGAATGGCCTATTCCTGTTCCTATGTTCCTATGGAAGTTTAGGACACAATATAGATCACAGTCTGTGACACTGAGCATAAAGACACCTCTCAATGTCTGTTAAGTCATAGAATCCTAGAATACAGAAGGAGGCCATTCGGCCCATCATGCTTGTGCCAACTCTTTGAAAGAGCTATCAATTACTCCCCCTCCCCCCGCTCTTTCCCCAAAGCCTTACAAAGTTTTCCTTTCCAAGTAAATATCCGATTCCCTTTTGAAAGCTATCATTGAATCTGCTTCCACTACCCTTTTAGGCAGTGCATTCCAGACCGTAACAACTCGCTGTGTGAAAAAAAAGTCTCCTCATCTCCCCTCTGATTCTTTGGCTAATTTTCTTAAAAGTGTCCTCAGAAACAACAATAATAATTATTGTTGCATTTGATATAGCATCTTATCATGTTGTTGAGACGTCTCAAAGCGCTTCACAGAATAGAGTGTAAAGTGAATTGACTGTATATTTTGTGGGTAAAATGATGGACCTCCTCCTGAGCTGTACATTTCTATGGGTGTAAACCTGTTGCAGTGGAAGGTAAACTTAACACCCACAGATCCCCCCTACCTGAGGTCTGGACGGAATTGAATTGAAAGCCTTGAAAGGGAAGGGAGCTCTCCTCGACCTCACAACGAGCTGATGGGATTAGCGCTCTCCTCTC